ATGAGATCAACTGTTCACATAGGAAGCAGTCCTAAGTTTATTATACCTCCAATTGAAACAATATTTTCCAAAATGGAGTTAGAGAAATTGCAAGAGAGTATAAATACTACAGAAAATCCTAAGAGAAATAAAGAGAATTCTAAGAAACAAAAAGATGATGACATTAAGGTAGCAGAAAAATCATATGAGCAAATGAAGAAAGATTTGGACAGATTATTAAAAGAAAATGAAGATCTTTTTATATCAAACACTCCAACAATTCCAATCACATACATATGGATTATCCTTGAAAGTATAGGAATATTAATTCTACTTATCTGCTCATATTATATAGTCAAGCATATTTGTTGGAAACGAAGATTTGAGAAGAGGATCAAGGAACTGTCACAACAGGACATTCCACTTCAAGAAATTCCTCAAAGAAATAATGCAGAAGAAGAAGAAACGGAAATAGTCGAACCGGTTGCAAGCTCAACTGAACAAGCTTCAAGCTCAACTCAGATAAAGAAGCATTTTGTTCGAACATATCGACTTTAATTCACATTTGCTTTTTGAGATGATAATTTCATTCTTGATTGAAAATTTTTGATTTTATAATGATCGATTTTAGCTACATATATCTTTAGTTTGTAAGTACCTTTCCTAATAATAACAAAAAGCTTATTTAAAGGAATGTACACCCCACTCAAATTGATAAACTAAAGGGATAGATTAGAATAGACATAATAGTATATAGAATAGTCTAGATATAAGACTTAGTGTAGTATTAAGAGAGAGAGAGACATTAATAGAGATATGTATTTGATAAACATACTACCTTTAAAATGAACAATACTTTGGTGAAATTGAACTTCGCTCAAATGGATTTAAATGACCCTAGAGTCATACAATCTTTAAAGAACTCAACCACCTGAACTTTTGTGGTTATGTGAAATGAAATTTTAGCAGGAAAAGAAGTGTGTCAACATACAGGAAGAAGACACATTATAACATTTTGAACTGCACAGTGAACTTTGAACTTTTAGCAGGTGCTTTTTGAAACAAGAAGACATCACATGATCTTCTAATATACCTGAATTTGTGCAACTACAAGAAGTCAGCCAACAGAGGTGCTGCCATAGAGACTCTCAGCAACAGAGAGGTGCATTCGAAACCAGTGACAAAACTATGTCCACTTTTACCGTCAATTCCAGACGAAGACACATGTGTTCATTGTGTTTATTTTAGTAATACTATTAATCTGATGAATTGTTTATTATATTATTTCCATGTGTTTCAATTTTGAATTTAATTTGAATTATTGTATACTTTTATGATTTTATTATTATGTATAACGCAATTTTTAGAGAGAGAGAGAGAGCAATTCGAACTTATGTATTGCAGTGAAAAATCACGCCTTCTTTAAATGTAGTGTGATTTTTGAAGATAAGGGAGTAATGTGAGATCCGAAAGGCCCTGGGTCTAATTTGTGAATTTTTATTAAATATGTTTAAATATCGACACAAAATATTACTTTGATTGGTGAAAAAATATTGTTTTAGACGTGGGAAAAACCAGATAACAAATGTTATTTCCTTTCCACAGAAGAGAACATCCTCTGTTTTTCCGTATCTGGTTAAAAATCTCGCTCAGACGGGAAATGGTTACCCCTCATTCATCCCCCACTCGTCCGTTCTCACGAAAGAGTTACTGGACAATGATTGGACGAAATTTGGAAATAAAAGGAGAGATTAGTCAGAATTCGAGGAGTTCTTCGACAGATCCGAAGCATACAAACTCCACATACGCAGTTTTTCCTCCTGATGGCCAACGCCCATAACGGAGTCCGATAGACCAAGTCCTGAGTCTACACTTAGAAGAAGTGATATCTTTATATTTGTGCACGAATTGATCTCCCATACGAAAGTAATATGAACTCTATCTACAAGGTGTCCTATATCTACAGAAACGAAGACGACAACTAACAGGTCGTATGTTTAGAATCATTTGTGAGCTCTCTCTCTCGAACGCGCATTAGCTTAGATCAAGTCGTAGTCTATAGCTTGTCGTATAATCGTTGTATTTGGTTATTTGTATTCGTTTGTTTGAGATTTATTAAATTATACTTATGTTTTATTTTATCAGAATGTCTCCTCAATTTATTCCGAATCAGATCGCAAACGCGTGTTAATCCGCGTATAATAAGATTGATTAACTGGTGTCAAGGAATCCTGACGTAGATCCGAATCTCGCGATTTGGATCATTATTAAAAGCCCTCCTATAAGAACATTTAGGATCGGATCACACGATCTGAAACCTGGAGAACTAGTTTTACCAACTGGGTGTCGAATAAGTGGTACAAACAATCCTCCTCGGATTAGTACCCCCGGCTGATCTCACAAGTGGTGTAGCAGGAGTGGGGTTCGAAACTACAAAAACCCCCTAATAGAATCTCACAACTGGTGTAGCAAGAGTGTGGTCTCGAGCTTAAGAAAATCCCCAAATAGAAACTCACAAGTGGTTTTCACAAGTGGTGTCTTGAACTTAAAAATCCGTAGAAAATCTCACATCTGGTGTCGCAGGAGTGGTTCTGATTCGGATTGATTCGGATTGAGAGACAACTAGTTGATAAGTTAAAATAAAATAATTTTTAAGTTAACTATAAGTTAAAATGGATAGAGATAGAGAACCTCCGCGAGCGGCGTTAGCTGGTAATCCAATAACGTTAGGCGGATTAGGGGGAATGATTCCCCTCCTACCGGTCTTCTCAGGGGACGCAAAAGGTCCAAAAGTATCAGAATTTTTCGATACGTTAGCGGATGTGACTAGAGTAGCAGCATGG